AGATATGGGCAATTTTTTACGTTTCTTCTGCCAGCAACACTGCCTCGGTCTGCTTGCAGCGTATCATCTGTGTTACCATAAAAAAAAAACAACATTTGGGTAAGAAATCCATGAGGAAACACATCACACTGCCCCACAGTGCTCAGTGGAAGAACCTCCTTACTGAGAAGTTGGCAGCAAGAGTTTTCCTTCTCCTCTGCTATTCCTCCTCCTCTAACACCCTCTTTCTGTGGCCTGCGCTGTGAGGAATGTGAATTTGGGTTGGGGTGCTAGCAGGGAGGAGGAGGAGGGTTGGCGGTGCTGGCAATGAGGGAGAGGAGGAAATTTGAGGCAGCTTCAAAGGGGAAATTTCACTCCTCCTTAATTCAAGTGGACAATTATGCCTATCCAAAAGGGAGCACAAAGTGCCCCACTCTGAGGAAATGCAGTGAGGAACCTCTTTGCTACATTTATTACAGGTGTTTTATATAGAGCCGACAATTTACACAGTGCTTTACATAGTAGCACATTCACATCAGTCTATGCCCTCAAGGAGCTTACAATCTAAGGTCCCTATGTCACATGCATACATACAGGGCCAATTTAGACAGGAGCCAATTAACCTACTAGCATGTCTTCTGCATGTGGGAGGAAATCAGCGTACCCAGAGGAAACCCACACAAGCACAGGGAGAACAGTTGCTGGAGTTTTGGGAGAGGAATGTTCTCCCATTCTTGCCTGATACAGCATTCTAACTACTGAACAGTCCTGGGTCATATTTGTCGTAGTTTTCGTTTCAAGATGTGGCAAATATTTTCAAATTGGTGAAAGGTCTGGACTGCAGGCAGGCCAATTAAGCACTCTGACTCTTCCACTATGAAGCCATGCTGTTGTCATAGATGCAGTATGCGGTTTAACATTATCCTGCTGCAATATAAAAGGCCTTCCCTGAAAAAGACATCCTCTGGATGGGAGCATATCCTGCTCTAAAACTTGGGTATATGTTTCAGCATTGATGGCGCCTTTCCCGATGTGCAAGCTGCCCATTCCATACACAATAATACACCCCATACCATCAAGGATGCAGGCTTTTGAATTGAGCACTGATAACAAGCTGGAAGGCCCCTCTCCTCTTTAGTCTGGAGAACGTGGTGCCCATTGTTGCCAAAAAGAATGTCAAAGTTCGATTGCTCTGACCACGGAACAGTTTTCCACTTCACATTTAAATGAGCTTTGGCCCAGTTGAAGACACCGGCATTTCTGGATCATGTTCAGATATGGCTTCTTCTTTGCATGATAGAGCTTTAACACGCATTTTTGGATGGTACGGCGAGCTGTGTTCAGAGGCGGCTCTAGAGTTTGCGAGGCCTTAGGCAAAACCTAAACATGAGGCCCCACTCAGGCCTGTGGGGTCTTACCAGGGCTCTGTGGGGTTTAACCAGGCTGGTGAGATCCCGCAGAGCCCTGGTGAGACCCCACAGAGCCCTGAATAAATTAGGGCTCTGTAGGGTTTTACCATGGCTCTGTGCGATTTCACCAGTCTGGTTAAGGTAGGGTCTCATCTCTAGCCTGGATAGACCCCTCAGAGCCCTGGTGAGACGCCAAAGAGCCCTAGTGAGACATCAAGAAGCACTGGTAAAACCAGTGCTCCGCAGGGTCTCACCAGGACTACTGTGCTGGCCGTGTCTTGCGGGTGTCTCCATCAGCATCTGCAGTTAAACTCCGCCCTCCCAGCCAGAGATCCTCGTGTGGTGGATGGGAGGGGGGAGGTCTCTTCTTATTGGCTGGTGGGCGGAGCTCCGTGCAGAAGACGAGCCGATGATCCGCACCAACGATCGAGGTAACGGATGAGCTCTCAGCCCTGTCACTGTCCAAACTGAGAGTCTCAGTTTGACAGCTACGTGGATGAGAGCTGACAACGCTACCTGGTTGCCGTCCTGACAGGGCAAACTAGGCGGCCGCGAGGCCCTCTGGAGCGCGAGGCCTAAGGCGACCGCCTAATTTGCCTAATTAAAGAGCCGCCTCTGGCTGTGTTCACAGACCGTGATTTTTGGAAGTATTCCTGAGCCCATGCAGTGATGTCCAGCACAGAATTATGCCTGTTTTTAATGCAGTGCCGTCTGAGGGTCCGAAGATCACGGGCATTCAATATTGCGTTTCACCCTTGTCCCTTATGACAGAGATTTCTCCAGATTCTCTGAGTCTTTGGATTATATTATGTACTGTAGATGATGATGATGATATATTTAAAGTCTTTGCAATTTTATGTTGAGGAACATTATTCTGAAATTGTTCAACAATTTTTAGATGCAGCATTTCATAGATTGTTGATCCTCTGCCCATCTTTACTTCTGAGATACTATGACTCTCTAAGATGCTCTTTTTATACCAAGTCATGTTATCGGCCTGTTGCCAATTAACCTAATTAGTTGCAAAATGTTCTTCCAGCTCTTCCTTGTTAGTACCGCTTACTTTGCCAGCTTTTTGTTATCCTGTTCCAACTTTTTTGAGACACGTTGCTGCCATCAGTTTCGAAAGTACCTTTTTTTTTGTTTGTTTTAAATGGTACATTTACTCAGTTTAAACATTTGGTGTTTGCCATTTTCTATTGTGAATAAAATATGGGTTTATCGGATTGCAAATCATCGCATTCAGTTTTTATGCAGATTTTACACAGCGTCCCAACTTTTTTGTAATTGGGGTTGTGTATTGTATATGTGTGTGTGTGTATATTTATTGGGGTACCTCGGTTCACAAACGTAATTGGTTCCACGATTCTGGACGTGAACAGAATCAAATTTCCCCATAAGGTTCAATGTAAATAAGGTTAGTCCACAATCTACAATTTCCTTCTTCAATTCAATGTTTATTTTCTTCAAAACCTTCTTCTTGCTCCACACTTGCTTGTTACCGTCATTATTGCGCTGCATCTTCTTTTTAACACCATTCTTGCTCTGCACCTTGTGGTTACCTTCATTACCGCTCTACACGCTTGTCACCTTCATTACCACTCTGCACATTCTGGTTACCTTCATTACTGCTCTGCATGTTCTAATCACCTTCATTACTGCGCTGCACATTCTGGTCACCTTCATCACTGCTCTGCATGTTCTTGTCACCTTCATTACTGCGCTGCACATTCTGGTCACCTTCATTACTGCTCTGCACATTCTGGTCACCTTCATTACCGCTCTGCACATTCTTGTCACCTTCATTACCGCTCTGTACATTCTTGTCACCTTCATTACCGCTCTGCACATTCTTGTCACGTTCATTACCACTCTGCACATTCTTGTCACCTTAATTACCGCTCTGCAAATTCTTGTCACCTTCATTACCGCTCTGTACATTCTTGTCACATTCATTACCACTCTGCACATTCTTGTCACCTTCATTACTGCTCTGCACGATCTTTGGAGCCATGCTGGATTGAATAATACTGTACAGTACTGTATGTGCTAAAAAGCACACAAAAAAACCTTCACGGCAAGTGTGCACAGATCTGTCTGCGACCGCGTTCTCGACTAGAGGAAGCCACGACCACATGTCAGAGTGGGGAAGATGGCCTCCGTTTGTCACCCGATGGGGAGTTCGCGAACGGAAGCAACATTTTGCCGAACTTTCTGAAGAAGCGTTTGTGAACCGAGGTATTACTGTATATATATTCTTCTTTTTTTTTTCTTTAGTCTGGCGGGTCTATTTTAGCCAATGAAACAATACTGTTTTTTATATTGATTTGTATTATATTATAGACATATCCTTTAAATCCCTTCCACTTTGAAGCACAATTCAGCCACAGAGATCATACTTTATGTTAAATCAATGGTAGTATTGTCACAAATGACACTGCAATGTGCCACAGAGAGATGTCACCAGGGGACCAATGAAGACCCCATTGCATTTTTGCTATGGGGCCCCTTGATCTGTTGTTATGCCCCTGCTCCCACCCTTCATCTCTGCACTCCCTTCCTTCAGTGAGGTGCCTGCCCGTCTGCCTTACATCAGAGTTTCCACTTACAGAGTCTAATGTAAGGGGGGCAACGTTATAAAGGGATACTCTAAGGATTCTGATGTAAAGGGGAAAGATTTAAAAGGGACTTTGATGTAAGGTAAGTTTTAGGAAGTCTTATGACTCTGATGTAAAGGAGACTCTGATGCAAGGGGTAGTTCTGGGGACTGTGCTGTAAAGGGGGACTCTGATGTAAGGGGTAGTTCTGGGGACTGTGATGTAAAGTGGGACTCTGATGGAAGGGAGGGACTATGATGTAAGGGGTAGTTCTGGGGACTGTGATGGAAGGGAGGGACTCTGATCTAATGGGTAGTTCTGGGGACTGTGATGGAAGGGGGGGACTCTGATATAATGGGTAGTTCTGGGGATGGTGATGTAAAGGGGTGATCTGATGTAAGGAAGGGACTCTGATGTAAAGGGGGAATCTGATGTAAGGAAGGGACTCTGATGTAAGGGGTAGTTCTGGGACTCTGATGTAAAGGGGGAATATGATGTAAGGGAGAGACTCTGATGTAAGGGGTAGTTCTGGGGACTGCGATATAAAGGGGAACCCTGATGAGAGTTTGATTTGCATTTTTTTATTGACCAGTGGTGTAAATTTGGTGGAAGCACCTGGGAACATCAGTACACATTTGTATAAGGAACTTTGGATGAAATCCCTCCTGTGGTCCCCTCTCGGTTAGAGGGTGATGCCATTTGTCCTTTTCATGCACTGTTTGGTCATACAGCTTTCCTGAGGAATCTTTGCCCAGTGAAACGCGTTGAGAGATCTAATTAGAACCAGCATGGCATCTGCACATATTTAGCAATCCAACATATACTTACCTCGGACTTTATATGGGCCATATATAAAAGATTTGTGCACTGCTGTATGGAAGGAATGGTGGTTTGTAGGGGAGTGATTTCAGTGCATGTACTGATAAACTTTCTTCTATAACACAATGTTGTGCTTTTTATTTTTAAATAATGTTCCTATCGTGTAGTCTGCATTGTACACACTACAGTGTCTCCCCCTGTGTCAGTCTTCCACATCCATAGAGGGAGCTTCCCTCCAGTCACACATCCCGTTTCCTCTCCTCTCCTCTCCTTGTGTGGAGTACGCTCAGCCCTTGTGACCGCCGTTCGTTCTGCTGGGTTGGATTGGCCGCTGCCCGGCGGGGCCCGTTCTGGCCGCGTGAGTCCGGTGTGTGACGTCAGGGTGGCTTTGTGTGGACGATCGGGCGGTACCGATATGTTAATGGATTCCAGGCCCGGTTATCATCGGGGGCTGGGGGGCAGCGGGAGCAGTAATAACATTGCCTATGGAGGCTCGGCCTCCAACTCGCCGGCTCTGACCGGAGCCCAGGCCCGCCGGAGGAAGCAGCCTCCCCGGCCAGCGGACTTTAAACTGCAGGTGATTATCATCGGATCCCGGGGAGTGGGCAAGACCAGCCTGATGGAGAGATTCACCGATGACACCTTCTGCGAGGCCTGCAAGTCCACAGTGGGTAAGAGGACATATGGGGTCACCACCGTGCATGACGAGGAGTGGAGACAGGATACATATAATCAGTGTATGATGAGTCCTGGGAGAGAGAGGACACATATAATCACAGTGTATGAGGAGTGGAGAGAGGACACATGTAATCACAGTGTATGATGAGTCCTGGGTGAGGAATGGAGAGAGAGCACATATAATCACAGTGTATGAGGAGTGGAGAGAGGACACATGTAATCACAGTGTATGATGAGGAGTGGAGAGAGGACACATGTAATCACAGTGTATGATGAGTCCTGGGTGAGGAGTGGGGAGAGAGAGGACACTTATAATCACAGTGTATGATGAATCCTGGGTGAGGAGTGGAGAGAGAGAGGACACATATGATCACAGTGTATGATGAGTCCTGGGTGTGGAGAGAGAGAGAGGACACATATGATCACAGTGTATGATGAGTCCTGGGTGAGGAGTGGTAAGAGAGAACACATATGATCACAGTGTATGATGAGTCCTGGGTGAGGAGTGGAGAGAGAGCACATATGATCACAGTGTATGATAAGTCCTGGGTGAGGAGTGGAGAGAGAGCATACATATAATCACAGTGTTTGATGAGGAGTGGAGAGAGAGCACATATAATCACAGTGTATGATGAGTCCTGGGTGAGGAGTGGAGAGAGAGAGGACACTTATAATCACGGTGTATGATGAGTCCTGGGTGAGGAGTGGAGAGAGAGAGGACACATATAATCCCAGTGTATGATGAGTCCTGGGCGAGGAGTGGAGAGAGAGAGAGGACACATATAATCCCAGTGTATGATGAGTCCTGGGCGAGGAGTGGAGAGAGAGAGAGGACACATATAATCCCAGTGTATGATGAGTCCTGGGCGAGGAGTGGAGAGAGAGAGAGGACACATATAATCCCAGTGTATGATGAGTCCTGGGCGAGGAGTGGAGAGAGAGAGAGGACACATATAATCCCAGTGTATGATGAGTCCTGGGCGAGGAGTGGAGAGAGAGAGAGGACACATATAATCCCAGTGTATGATGAGTCCTGGGCGAGGAGTGGAGAGAGAGAGAGGACACATATAATCCCAGTGTATGATGAGTCCTGGGCGAGGAGTGGAGAGAGAGAGAGGACACATATAATCCCAGTGTATGATGAGTCCTGGGCGAGGAGTGGAGAGAGAGAGAGGACACATATAATCCCAGTGTATGATGAGTCCTGGGCGAGGAGTGGAGAGAGAGAGAGGACACATATAATCCCAGTGTATGATGAGTCCTGGGCGAGGAGTGGAGAGAGAGAGAGGACACATATAATCCCAGTGTATGATGAGTCCTGGGCGAGGAGTGGAGAGAGAGAGAGGACACATATAATCCCAGTGTATGATGAGTCCTGGGCGAGGAGTGGAGAGAGAGAGAGGACACATATAATCCCAGTGTATGATGAGTCCTGGGCGAGGAGTGGAGAGAGAGAGAGGACACATATAATCCCAGTGTATGATGAGTCCTGGGCGAGGAGTGGAGAGAGAGAGAGGACACATATAATCCCAGTGTATGATGAGTCCTGGGCGAGGAGTGGAGAGAGAGAGAGGACACATATAATCCCAGTGTATGATGAGTCCTGGGCGAGGAGTGGAGAGAGAGAGAGGACACATATAATCCCAGTGTATGATGAGTCCTGGGCGAGGAGTGGAGAGAGAGAGAGGACACATATAATCCCAGTGTATGATGAGTCCTGGGCGAGGAGTGGAGAGAGAGAGAGGACACATATAATCCCAGTGTATGATGAGTCCTGGGCGAGGAGTGGAGAGAGAGAGAGGACACATATAATCCCAGTGTATGATGAGTCCTGGGCGAGGAGTGGAGAGAGAGAGAGGACACATATAATCCCAGTGTATGATGAGTCCTGGGTGAGGAGTGGTAAGAGAGAACACATATGATCACAGTATATGATCAGTCCTGGGTGAGGAGTGGAAAGTCCCTGTTCTGTGGAGCTCAGGCTAGAATTGACCTCTCGCAATGCGGGGGGAATAGTTTGACTGGCGCACCTTTCCCCTGGTTGGGATGTACTGGTTGCACTTCGATGTGTTCTCTGAGTTGGAGCTGCTTGTGGTTTGACACATTGACTTCAATGAACTGAAGCTGAGACTTGTATCAGTGCGTTGTGGTAGGCAGCCCGTCCATAACACACCTCCACACATGAGAATCTAGGACTGCAACACACATCGGCATCGTGGAGGGGCTTTGGGCTCCCAATCCAAATAAATGGCTTCGCAGCGCAGAAATGTAGTTTGGTGAAATCAGTGTACATGTGTGAATGAGCCCTAAGAGGAGATTATTGTAAAGGAGGTGCCAAGGCTGCTATTGCTGAACTCTCCTGAAAGTGATGGTTGTCCGGCCGTTGTGCCCCTCTAGCTTTAATGAGGAACTGATAACAGTGCTGATTCAAAGTGTATCTAAAGCCCAAACCTTTTTTTCCTGTATTGGATAGGCTGGGCTATGGATAAAACCACTGGAAGGTTTCTGTTCTTGTATCTGAATCCCATTGGGGAGATTTCTCTTAAAGGAGAACTATGAGATGAGTGATTTCCACTCACCTCATAGTTCTAGCCGACCTGTGACAATGAGACTGTAGATCAGTAGATCGGGAGGTGAGAGAACACATACCAGGTTCGCTCACCTCTCGATCCTGTCACGGCTCTCTGCCGTGACAGGGGGAGGGGCTGGATTCCCCTCTCCCCACTCCGATCTGCCAGCGCTGACTGGCAGAACGGACGGGGGAGGGGGCGGGTACAGCTGGCTCTGCCTCTAGATAGGCAGAGCCAGCTGTCACTCACGCAGCTGGGCGGATCCCGTCATCTACGTCGGGATCCGCTCCGGCTGCGGCGTCTCAGTATACCGCGAGCTGTAGCCCGTGGTATACTGAGCTTAGGGTAACGGCAGGACGCTAGTTTGTGTCCTCCCATTACCCTAAGGAGAACTATGGGGAAAAACACTGACCCCATAGTTCTCCTTTAACTTCCTCTCCTGTAGGCGCAACAAGAAGTGAGAGAATACCTCCCCAAAGTCGGGGAAATCCCCTCTGAGACAGCTGTTACCCAGAACAAGTGTCCTCATCAGAAAGTTTGCTCTCTATTCCTGTTCTAGTGACAGCTCAATATTTTGGATTTTCCCCCACTTCTAATTACAATGGTCATCATGACAAATAGAGAGGGCGAATCTTTGCTGGTCGGACAGCAATAAAAACCTGACTGGTTCTAACCATTGCTTGCTCCATGCAAGGCTATATAAAAGGTTTTGGGTTCAGATATTGACAGAACTTTCAAACTTGTTGCCTTGTTGACCGGAAAGAAGCATATAAATAAGTACTAACATTTATCTTACATTCCTGGCTTGTCTGCTTGTTCTGGGTCAGTGATTCATAAAGTATCAAGGCAAAGAGGATCGACGTTCCAGCCAGGCAGCTAGCATTTTTAGGAGAGGTAATCAGTGGCAGACATTACATTTCTCTTATGGAAGATACTATTATGGTGACTATGATGGTCCAATCATTTCCTGATATCCCAGCGATGACGGTCCAATCATTTGCCGATATCCCAACAATGTTGGTCCAATCATTTGCTGATGTCCCAACAATGATGGTCCAATCATTTGCTGATGTCCCAACAATGATGGTCCAATCATTTGCTGATGTCCCAACGATGATTGTCCAATCGTTTCTCGATTGCCAACGATGATGGTCCAATCATTTCCTGATTTATGCATTGCTCCTCAGTACATGAAATCATTTTACAAAAAAAGAAAATTAACAGCCAGGCAACTAAAATTTTCAGCCGAGTTGCCAGCGTCTAATATGTCCCATGGTTTGCACTGCTATGACTACAATGCGGGTCCAGTCACTGCTGATTAGTTTTGTTACTCTTACAAGTACTGAGATCTGGGATCTATATGCCATAAGCCGTGGCACATGACAGACTTCCCATGGCGCGTATGCCGAGCCATTTCAGGTTCTGTATAGGACGCCTTCAGCTGAAGGTCACAGTCTATCTTGTTGCTGAGCTCCAGCTGGGATCTGATACTATCGATATAGAATTTGAGCTGTCATGGCACAGCTGTCTTGTCGATCCCATCCCCCATCATGTTACAACACTCATCCGTCAGTCAGCGACACTGGCATCCAACGCCAAGCTGCAGAGCAATTTACTGCACTTGTCTTTGCCTGAGTTGTTGTTGTCACAAAACGATGGCATTTATGACTGTGTGATTTTCAAATGAGTTGTTGTTGAAAAGAAATTCTGATGTTCTATGTGTCTTGTTATTATTCCAAAGCACAATGTTTTCCTGTCAGTGTGAAAAGTCATTGTGGAAATTGCGTTGGTTAAATGTGTGATTGACGGGGTATAATGTGATGTGTGAAAATGAGCTCATCTACGTCAGCTGTAATGTAAAGGGTGAGAAACTGGGATGGGGCGTCTTCATATAGCCATGTGGTATTTCATACAGTGAGAAGAAGACTTCAGAATATTACGCAGATAGATTAGCACAATTTACACTGGAAAGACGTTTGTATTGGTTGTGTCTGTCCTCCGAGGCCTGCAGTGTCGGGAATGTTTCCTGAAGTCCAGGCCCATCCTGCTTTTGTGACCAAGCAGATGAGGTGGAGGAGGAGTGTTCAAGCTCAACAAGTGCACAACATATGTTCCAGAAACACTGCATGTAGAATTTCCATCAGGGCCATGCACTGTATCATCCAAGATTATTCAAGACAGCAACTCACTTGTGTTCCCTTTTTTTTTTTTTTAAGTATTCTTTATTTTTGGTTTTCACAATATAAAACAAAAAGAGGAAACACATTTGAAAAAACAAAGAAGGACTTGTGTTCCCTTTTTAATCTTGTAATGGCACTCATGTTTAGTTTACTAATTTTGTATTGAGATTGTAGTCCATCATGGGAGCGAGCTTGGTGTGGTGGCTACTTTACAAAACACACAGGGACCATGAGGAACAAAAG